GTGGCACAGCAAGTCCCCACACCACTGCGTGCTGCTGATCCCAGGCACCGCAGGCTGGATCCTATCCTACCTCTTCACAGTCTGGATCCAACTTGCAGGTTGCTGACCTCTGATCTAGAGGCAGCAAGAGTTGGATGTGCCTGTTCTGCATGTGGAGTTAAGTGGCTTCAGCTAAACAGAAATGAGGCTGTGAATCTCAATAGCCACTTGGCCAGAGGGGCAACAATACGCTGCCTCTGGATGATTTTTATGTAAGGCAAACTACCAAAAAGTGAAGAACTAACCAATCCTGACCCTTCTGAACTGTCAATTGTTGCAGAAAACCAAGAATAAATTTCTGCTTGTTATTTTCTGTCTACTTATGATTATATGACTGATTTAAGCACCTTGAGGTAGGAACTTTGTCACTGCACAATCCCTGAAGCTTGGAACACACTATTGGCACAATATAAGCCATCAGAAAAAAGATCAATTAAACATACTTACGTGTGATGCCCACAAAACAACATATTTGAAAGAGCATTTAACAAGAAGAAGTTAACAAGAGAGATCTCTCTTCCTAGCTGAAAGCAAGGGAATAAACCCTGGAGGTATTTTTCTGCTTAAAATCAGGTCTGGCTGAAATTACATAATATTGGGAAAAATCATCTCGTCATGTCCCATTATCACAGATAAGGCTAGCAAGTGACTGGGCTTTGGCAATAATGAGTCCCAGGAGATGAGCTATAATCTTCCGTGCAGTCCTCTAAACTGCTTGAGAAATAACACAACACTGATGGTTAGTCAGGGTGGTTTACTTGGGGATGATCCTACCTTGACCAGGGGGCTGGATTAGATGACCTCATGAGGTTCCTTCCAGCCCTCCTTTTCTGTGACTGTTGTCATATGTCTGGAGTCGTGCAGTAAATTATTATTCAAAATAAATTCCACCAGGGCTTGCTTTGGGATTATGCAGGGACGGTTGAGAAGTCAATCTTTTTTTCCTGTGTTACTGGTACAAGCCCCAAGACAGATGTCCTGTGACCTGCTACCCGACTGTCTTAGCTGGTCAGGGTCTCGGGGATTGTGGTGCGTATAGGATAGGTCTTCTCAGTTGGATCTGTTTCACAGGAGCTGTTGAGATGTCCCGTCGGAGCCCTTTTGCCTCCTGGCTTTGTGCTATGCTCTACTGCTTTGGAAGTTATATTCTTGCTGATCTGTTACTTGGAGATTCACCTATTGATTATTTCAGCAATAACTCCAGCGTGCTCCTAGCCACAGCAGTCTGGTGAGTTTACTTGTGAGATGCAACACTATCCTGTTTGGAGCTTGAGGGGATTAGGCAGGGAGGGGGTATGGATTAGTCTGCAAGTCTCTTGTATTCCTGGGCTTGATTTTCAATTCATCTGACCGCTGACCTAAAAAAAGTTTTACTAGCTGGCCTGGAGTCTTCTCAAATGTAAATTATCTCAGTTCATCACTGCTACAAATGGATTGTGCTCCCCATCTCCCCCCACAAAAAAGTAAACCTTTCACCGGCCCTGGGCACAAGCAGTCTTCGAGGCAGCATGGAGTGCACTGAAAGGAGGTGCCAGCACTTCAGTGGAACGTTAGAGGCAATTTTTTAAGACTGTAATATTGGACTGGCTGCAACATTCAGCAATAGTGACCCAAAAGTTTAGTTTCTCAGTAAGAAAGGGGAATTTTGGTGCCCTGTGCAGACTACTGCTGCTAGCCTGTCCTTTACTCCAGGCCAGGGCAAATAGGTATGTCTCTGAACTTTTTGTGCTTTTGTTCCAGGTATTTGATATTTTACTGCCCCATGAACCTTTTTTACAAGTGTGTGAGCTTTCTCCCTGTGAAGCTTATCTTTGTGGCAATGAAGGAGGTGGTCAGAGTTCGTAAAATTGCTGTTGGAGTCCACCATGCTCATCACCATTACCATGATGGTTGGCTCATTATGGTAGCTACTGGATGGGTCAAAGGTAAATCCCAAGATGGTGAAGCAGACAGGTGGTGCATTCAGCCCCTGCATGGAGATTGCAGCAGAGGCACTGCCTTGTATCACTCAGTAGAGGTAAAGGGAGGAAGTCGATTGGTTCCCGGTTATTATGATGCCAAATGCAACAATTAATGAATCCTCACTGAACATTTGTAACTGTAATTGTTCCCATTTTAATGACGGGGAAACTGAGGTGGAGAGGAGGGTGACTTGCCTAAGGCTCCACTTTGAGCTATTCTGGGGATCCAATCAGGGGCTCTCTGTTCCCCATCCTGTGCTCTGCCACCCACGGCTTTCACCTGTACATTTTTCGGGGAGTTTCTATCCAGGGCCGATGGTCTAGGTCCCTTTTCCTTGAAGCGTTGGCTAGGAAAGGTTGTGGGCCGTTAGAGCCATGCCAGTTAGGATGGGGTCCCTACATCTGGCAACACTTACAGAGCTTTGCTCTGCTGTTGGTTCCAGGATGACTCGTTGCAATCAGAAACGAGTCTCATAACCTTTTTATTCCGATCAGCATAATCCTGGTTCCTAGGACTGTCTTGGTTCTTTTGGAAATGAACTCGAATGGAAGTACCATTTCACAGCCTCAGCTTTCATGGTTCCACAGGTTCTGGCGTTGCCTTGATGTCTAACTTTGAGCAGCTGCTGCGTGGAGTCTGGAAGCCAGAAACAAATGAAATTCTGCATATGTCCTTGTAAGTAGCTACATTGCAGATTCTCTCACACTGAAATCAGGGCTACCCACAACCTTTGTTCCTCATGTCATTCTTCCTGACCAGCTGTATCTAATAAGACTTCCTCATTTCCTTTTTAGCCCAACGAAAGCTAGTCTGTATGGAGCAATCTTCTTCACCCTGCAACAAACTCACTGGCTCCCCATCTCTAAGGCCAACCTCATCTTCTTCTTCACCATGTTTATGATTGTTTGCAAAGTGAGTTTACAGTAGATTTTCTGCTAAAGCATGCATAAAACTGAGGGAAAGAAGGGATATACATTCCCGCAGGAGCGTGGATCAGGCAGGCAGCAGCATATATGAACAGGGATCTGAAGTCAGGATGATGGGGAAGATATCGCCACAGGAGTACAGTCCGGTTGTGGGAGCTGATCAAACTCTCAGTTCCAGGATATTGTTTAATTCAGTCAGATTTCATCCAATGCAACAGTTCCTAACATTCAAGGTTTTTCAAGTGCAGTTTGTGTTTTGCACAGTGTGTGTTGCAAGTGAAAGTTTCATAAAATGATGAAATGTTGAATATGGTATCATCAATGAGAACAAGGTTATAATTCACTAGAGAAGTAAAATGGCAGTACAAGGACTCCATTATCTACCCTTCAGGATCAATCCTAGGACAAGCTCTTGGACTGAGTTTCTGGCCATCCCCTCACTGTTACTGAAGGCCTTTGCTGTTCCCACTAGAGCTGGCTTGCTTGAGAATCTGGTGGTTTAGTTCTGATTTTTCAGGAGGTTTGGAATGGGGTCCAAGTACAAGAGGACCCAAGCCCATCAGCAACACTGATTCCACTTACCAAAGGACAGGGACAGGAGTGGGCCCCTTGCCATTTTGCTGTGAAAAGGTGTGATCAGTAACTTCCTGTCTCCATTGTTGTATGGCAGGTGTTCATGACAGCAACTCATTCTCATGCTTCGCCATTTGCTCCCGTCGAAGACTTCATCTGTCCAGTTCTCTTTGGCTCTGTTTCCGGTGGGCACGACAATCACCATCACGACCATCGTGGGGGTTCCCATGATGCTTCACCTGCGCTCCCTCCTCAGCCTCCTGCAAAATCTAAGGAGGAGCTGAATGAAGGCACGAGGAAACGGAAAGTGAAAAAGGCTGAATAAGAAAAATCTGTTGTGCACAGTGAACATGGCAGCAAAGAACGCCTCAGAGCTGTGACCTCACATATCTTTCACTTCTTCTCCCTGATACTCCAGAGGAGAGGGGTGGAAGCCAGGACACTACCACAGAGGTTCCTAAATTTCAGCTGTGCACTCAGTCCCACTGTTAGCTTCATGGCCTCTTGTCTCTTTGTCTGAGCCCCTTCTTTAGAGAGGTTTTATGTTTGTGCCAGGCTGACATTTGGGCATAAGTTCCAGTCCCATCAGCAACCACGATGCAGCATGTTCAGTTACTCTAACACCTCTGCCTCCCGCTTGCTCACACACTCATTGTTCTTTCAAGGGCTAACTTGTATTCCTACACCTTACAAGTTCCTTCAAGTTTTAACTGACCTGGGCTGCCTACAGGCAGCAAGCATGTGGAAATTAGATTTTTTTTAGCACTGACCGGTTGTCTCTGAAGCTGAGCTCAGGCTTTTCAACTGCTGCAGGTAGGATGGCTACAAGGTAGCATGATGCAAGGCCTCAGACTGATATGGCTTGTCCCACGTGCATTAAAGGACATCAGCCTTGGTGTCCTGGCCAGATTCCACTTTGGGTATTTCATCCTGCTTGTCCAAATTCCCCTTACAGTTCTTAATGTATATAACCTTTCTCTTTAGTTTCCTTATCTTGATCTATATTTGTAACAGTTTCAATGATTAAGTGCTACATACTGCTACAGTTACTGTCCTGAACTGCTGCATAGTGCCGCTGTGTACTGCTAACGACTCCTGTCCCGCTCCAGAGCTGACTGCATGTCATTTGGAAGTGAAGTGAATCCCCTATAGCTTGAAGTTTGTTTCTAATCCTGTGGGATATAAGACTTTATGTAAATGTAAAGTTATTTATTGTTATTTATTATAGCCAGGGCACCAAACTCTTGGGCCTAAAGCTGGTTTTTAAAAGGAGCTGTGAATTTGTATTTACACAACTGGGCAGATTTGAGAAAAGCCCACAGTTCGACACTCATCCTTGCTGGTGATTAAATGTTCATAGTATACGAGGAACTGGCCTAAATTCTCTGTCTGCTGGAAGGAACATTTCCTTTTCTCTTAAATTAACATTTTAAAAGACCAAGGAGATGGATTTTAGATTAACCTGATCAAAAGTCTGACTGGAGCATGCCAGCTGAGGAAATCTGAAAATTCTTTGCAAATCCTCAAAAGACAACCTCATGGCCGTTGTACTGGCCTGTGAGAAGGGCCTTAGTCAAGCAGACAAATGAAACAGAAGGTAACACAAAAAATGCCCTTGCTTGGCTAATTGAGGATTCAGCCAGTTTTGCCGTGTCCTGCTCACTGAACAGTTGGGGGTTTAAACTGGTTTCAGACTATACTTATGCATTGAGGATCTTTTTTCTTTTTTTTAATTGTGGCTTTGGGCACTGTCATGCAAAGATCCGCTCGCGTATCTCAATCTCCTGCCCAGCCAGGCTGGGGTTGCTGCTGTAGGTAGGGCTGGTGTGTTCTGCCCCAAGTGCCCCTAGGGAGCATTGTTGGGCTGTCAGTGAGCTACATCTTGTCCCCCTCACCTGGAGGGTCTGTTGTTGCAACTCTGACCTTGAGGATAGTGGAAGAGGTATTTGGAGGCAAGGCATAAATCGGAGAGTTTCAGAAATCCAACTCTTCCCCTGCTCCCAAACTGAACCAATGTGATTACTGAAATAAATGCAAATTGGTTGCCCAGCATGATTTTGTGAAAAGGGACTGGTAGATGTAACCTAAACTGATGTCTGTGTACAACAGGACTAAAGCCAATATAGAAGTCAAATTAATTGTGCTTCTGGGTTTTGAAAGTGCCTTAACTTTGTTACCTTCCCTCACTTCCTTTGGAAAGTGGAATAAGCCTGACAGCTTTCTATTTTAATGGGCCTTGTTTTACCGAAACCTGCTGTTCCTCCGGCCAGCACCAGGATATGTTGAATATTCTGTGGAATGTCTGATTCAAGGAAATGTGTTGTTTTATAACAGGCATCAACAAAATAAAAAATTGTGAAGTGACTCAAGGCGACACTCAGGAGGGACCTATGCATTTTCTTTTTACTTTCTCCAGTGCCAGAAATGCAGTTACAGAAGGCTTCTGGGAGGTCCCTAAACCAGTTTGACCCCTGGCCCAACAACATGATTCTAACATTTACTGTAAATCAAAGCTGAGCATGTCCGGAAACATAGCTAGGGACTGGTCTTTAACGAGATTTCATGGTAACCACCAACTGCCATTGTTGCGTGCAGTCTACGTTAGTCACGCGGGGAGTTGGGGGAAGACAGAACTTTGTGGGAGCTTAATAGTTTCCCTCGCTGTGCTGGAGCCGAAATTCTCTTTCTCTCTGTGTACTTTGCACCTTCACCCAGGATGGGCAGACGCGCACACACAGTAGCAGGTACATTTCTGTTTCAATTTGTCATTATGTATTTAAAGTGTATTTGTCAACACGAATTCTACAAGAGAGACACCCCTAGGTGCGTGATTTTCTGCTTCAGCCGTTTTCTACTCTACTCAAGTGTTTTTTCAGCAGTTGCTGTTCTCATCTAGGACTAAATATTGAAGCGCTCGCTGTCTCTACAAGGAACACTAGATTAGCCAATAACTGGTACTCCTTTGATCTTTTTACAAGACCTAGAATAAATGTCCCGTGTTGTATTGGAAAGCACGTTTTGTAAGCCTACAAGGGGCACTTTCCAGTCCTGAGCAGTTTCAGAGTTCAGCTGCCAAGATAGGAAGCTCCACTACTACGAGCGAGGCTGTGCAGGGTGAGCGCTGTAGCCACTCCTGCATCACCAAGGCTCAGCTCTGGCGTCCGTGCAGCAGAGTAGGGGTGGAAAGAAGCCTGCTGGGACCTGGAGTGCTACAGAGGAGATGTTATAATCTGATAGCTCTGCTGCTATCAACGCTGGCACGATCGTAACCCTAGGTTTAACTGACAAAGTGACCCTGGTACTATATAGGCATCCTGCCTGCTGGAGGTGGCAGATCTGGCCTTTCAGGCAATTCACAGTCACTGCTCTAAGTACGTTCTCTTCCCTGACGAGTATCTTTTCCTCCAGTCCCAAAGGGTCCCAAGTGTCTTCAGGTTTTGCCACTACAGAATGAGCTCAAGATCAGGGGTATAAAAGCTGTGAACCCCCTATTTTGCATGTTAAACAGACCTAAGAGTATGTCTGTAGAAAATGCACAGAGGTTTTTTTTTGTTGGGGGGGGGGGGGGGGGTGTTGTTTTGTTTTACAAGAGAGGAAGGAGAAGCCACACAAAAAAACCCAAATTCCCACACCAAAAAGCTTACAAGGGAAATGGCAAAAGCCATCACATTGGAGAAAAACCTAAAATGCCCAGTGCTTTTGTCTTCCATCTTCCTTTACTCCTACTGGCGACAGGTCACGTATTCTGTCAAACTGCCCAGATAGTAATGCCATTGGGAATTCCAGCTGAGTGGGGAATCCCAGCGGTCAAGATAAAAGATGGATTAGGTAGTCTGCCTCCTTGGCACTACAGGATACAGCTGCCTCCCACCTTATGCTCCATTGTAAGGCAAGGGGGTTGTTCCTTGACTTCTAATAGAGTAAATATGGTAAAATCCAAGACATTAACATTCATCCTACAGCAGGATGCAATGCAAAGGGGCCGCCTGGTGCAAAGGGGTCTGAAGCACAGTAAGTAACTACACAATATGGGAGACATCTCCCTGGTACCTTGAGGGCATCCACAGCCCAGCCCACGAGGGAGTGCCCCACCCCAATCCTCTTGTCCAGCATCAACGTCCCACTTTCTACCACAAGCCATGAACTCACAAGCTCCTGAATGAACCAAATCAGCCACAGAGGCAAGTGCAAAAAATGCCAAATGGGGATCAGCAATAGTGTGCGCAACAGGGAGGCAAGGATGCATGGCACATCGGCGGGGGGTCAGTAAATGCCCCAGTAATGGTCAGGTCTCTTTGGAGATGCACAGGCTAGAACAGCAAAGTAAAAGCAACCTGACTGCTGCGTGTACTGCCCCATGTTGTGGTTGACGTGAAGCTTGTCTGGCACCTTTCACCATGCTCAGTATGGAGCCTAATCTTATTGAATCATCTTCTCTCCTTCTGCAGGGGCCTGTTCTTGCGGGGTTCCCATTCCAGCTGTAAGCCCATAACTCACGCCACTCGCACTCAGTCCTATTCCACTTCCCAAGCGAGCCTGGTGCCTTTGCAATGAGCTCTGCCCAAGGGACTCCCAGCTTCCAGACACTACCCTTTCCAAATTCAGTTTCTCTTCGCTGGCAGCTGGGGCAGTTTCAGTCCAAGATCCTTTACTCTGTGATCTGAATAGAAGAATACCTCACCCAATCGCTGTGCCTGTCCTCGACTCCTTCTTCCAAGGTGTTCACGGTCCTGAGGTCAGTAGCTTGTCTTGCCTCATTCATCTGTCTGAGGGCAGCAGCAGGAGGGATGGAAACAGGCAGGTCACTTACACAGGAAATGTGGCAAACCTGACTGTACATGTTGGAAATCTTCTTCCCTTGTGCATGTAACGCCCTAGAGCACGTGACCCAGGCAGCAGGAGTCAGCGAAGAAATCAACTCTCCCGCTGACAGAGGATCGCTCTAATCCTGAGGGACTGCGGGACATGAACGATGAGAACAAATCAGCTCATCAAATACACTCTGTTTGTCTCCTGTTACCTCTTCTGGGTGAGTCTAAGTAGACTAGGCCTGCCAGGTCCAGGGTGGGGCTGCAAATTTCCTGCCTGCGGGGAAACTCACCTTCAACGCTGCCTCAGTGAGAAGCCAGGCTGGCCCGCTGCAAGGCTGAGGCCATCTGGGAAGGGAACTAGAGCTCTGGATGCTTTGAAATCAGTCATTTGGTCTCCAGCTTCCCTTAGGAAGATGGCAACTCCTGTTTCTCTCCTTGGGCTGTGTCTCATATTTCCCTAGAAATGGTGTACCACTGGCAGTTTATATATCAAAACTGTTATGAGGAATTTGTCTCCGATTCTTCTTTCCCAGGTGGCCAGTGGGCTTATGGTAGCAGTCGGGATTTATGCCAAACTCTCCAAGGAAGCAAGTAAGTACCAGTTTCCTGTCCCGCCCTGAGCTACACAACTGGAGTTTGAGTAAAACTGGGTCTCATCAGGTAAAGCTAAGGAAGCTGCTGGCTTCCTGCCGCTGGCTATCTGCCCAACCATGCCGTCAGCATGAGGCAGCTGGGCTATGCCACATCCCACCTGAAACCCCACCCCTTGCTCAGAGCATCGGGCATGGGAGGGTTGAACAGATGCTGGCGAGCGTCTGCTCAATGCAACGCTCTCATGAATGGCCTCAGGACCTGGCATCTCCCATCAACACCACAGACTCCAAACTACAGCTACCTTCACTTTCATCCTGGCCTAGTTATTGAGATTCAGCTTAACAATAGCTTAAAACCTAATGCACCTATAAAGACTGCAGACGGTAACCTGTTCTGTGGCACGGTCAGGAGGGAAGCTGGACAGAACCTGGAGGCAACGCCTTAGAAAGCCATTCAAAGTCTGAAGGAGACGCACTGAGCGGACACTTGCCAGCCGTCTGCTCAACGGCTGACTCCGAGCGGAGCAGGCATGACTGGGTAGGGGCAGGACTTCCCAAAGGGTGAGGCTTACCCCACTGCATCCTGCGGAGGGCATGGTTCTGCAGATCCCTTGGCACCCTGGCACTTGTCTATCACAGTAACCTGAGGCTAGTTGCGGGGCGGTCTGCAATGGCTGCACAACGTACGGAGATGAGCTCTGTGTTATCACCTCTGCCCAGCAGCTCTCATAATCACCCTCCACTGCAGTTCCTTCCTGACACGTGGGGCACAGTCAGCACAACTACTACCAACCACGTAATTGTCTCATACCTCACAGCTGACACAGACAGGTCCTTCAGCAACATTCAACAAACAGCATTTCACGTGGATGAAAGAGGGGTTACCCCATTCCCAAGACTTCTGCAAAGTAACCTAAGGTGAGGGAACAGAAAAGCTCCTCTCACCAACCCCGTGACACTCTACGACCTTTTTGGAAGTCCTTGGGTAAATGCTGGCCCACAAACACAGGAGACTGGCCCCCACAGGCCAGCATACGCCATCAAGTCCTGGTTTAGGATGCCCCCGACTCCCCGCCCCTCCCCTCCCCTCCCCTCCCCTCCAGTGCACTACTTGATACTTGCTGAGTGGTGGCTCTGGCTTTGGCAATGTATAGGCCATAGAGCGAGAGAGAGGAATACAGGACTCTCAGACCATCACATCCAGTCCCCTACAACTGCACACAACAACATCATAAATATTTGCCTAAAAGGATCCACCAGGACATCCAGCTCAGCCCCTCCTACACACCATAGCCACAGAGCATCCCAGCCCAAATTAGGGATCATTGGGTCAGAGGACAGAGCCACAGAAAGAAGGCAGGAGACACAAGGGCAACACATCCTCTACCCAGAGGGATTTCCACCCCAAGGGGACAAGCTTGTTCAGAAACTGTACGTACAAACCCTGGGGTGCAAGCCTTTGCTCGTTTGGCCCTGTGAGGAGAGGACACTCTCCTGGGCGACTGAAGAGTGTGGGGGAGGAACCTGGCTTCCAGAACGGGCCTGGGGCTTATCATAGGGAAAGGAACAGCAACAAGGAGGCTGTTGTTGGAGCTGGTCCAGTTTTTCCATGTGTCCTATATCCATCATTGGTCTTTTGTAGGGGAGGGGCGGACCAGACTTGCCTCAGGATTTTTCAGTTCGCTTTGGTTTCACTTTCTGCCAGGTGCTGTGGACTCGCTCCTCGCGGACCCTTCGCTCATCCTGCTCACTGTGGGGATCCTCATGTTTGCTATCACATTTGTGGGGTGCACGGGAGCCCTCCGTGACCTCCCTATGCTTCTGAAAATTGTAAGGAAAAGCCAGCAGATGCTTCCTTCTAGCTGACCCGGCACAGACACTGAGGCCTGTGCCTCAGACTGCCTCGCTAGGCAAACTCCTGCTGCCAGAGCGACCACAAAGGACATAGAGCAATCCCATTCCACCTTCATTAGGGCACCAGTTCTGGTCAGTCCCTGAAGGATTTGAAGGGGCACCTGACTGTTATGAGTCAGGCAATAATAGCTCACCAGCTGCACAACTAGCAAGGAGAGGAGACAGTCAATGTAAAAGCTAGCTAATTTCTGATCATTCAAAAATCTGCTCAGCATTTGGGAGTTACAATGGCAACATCACCTCTACAACTCCACTTCCAACAAAGAAGAACTGCTGGCTGCGCCAGTTCAGTCTCCTCGATGACTACGTATGAAACTGCCTCCTGTTTTTCACATTTGCGCTATTTGTCCCAAAGTGCCGTTAATAATATTCACCCATTAAATTCCAGAACTACTTCCAAATTGCAGGGTACACGTTTCTCAACGAGCTGGCAAATGTGACACTGTGCCAGGTACTGGTGTGAGGTTCCCTGGGGGGAGAGGAGGGGCCCTCAGGCACAAGGCATGCTAGAGGTGAGAACACAGAGAAACAAGCCTGATGAACACAGGCTGGAACTTCTTTAGTTTGACAGAATCCAACGTGTAGCTGGAAAGGCTTTGTTTGTTAATAGCAAACAACAGCAAGCCCCCTTTGACTAGATTTAACGTGGTCACCTATACAAAAGAGAAGCTTCCTCCTCTCAGATCAGGTCCCCTAGTGTTTATCATCAGCACTGGGCAAATTTGCCCTCGGATTCTCTGTCGCTGTGCTGGATTTTCAGATGAACTTTATTTACTATCCTGTTCTTTGAGTTGACTTCCTGAGCCTCTGACAGGTCCTGACGCCAACTCCTTCCACTGGAGTCTTGGCGGCAGGGGGCCGTCTTGATGGCACTCCAGTCACAGGTGTAAGCAGCGCACACTCAGTGGGCCGCACTATACAGCGCCAACAGAACACCCCCAGCCCCGGGGAGCCCTGGTACCAAAGCTCAAAGGGAGAGGGCTGCTCTCAGTCTTGATCTCAATCTTTCATTCTACAGTTTGCCTGGACACTGCTAATTGTACTGATCCTCCAGATTGTGGCTGCTGTTCTGGGATTCCTCTTCTCTGGCATGGTAAGTCCAGAGCAAACTTCAGTGCAGATATTCTGCCTGAGCAGTGGTCTGGAAAACTGTGATTTTGTAGCCTATTGCTGGCTCTCCCATAGACTTTCTCTGTAGCCATGGGCAAGTCACTCCCTTTTCCCACATCCTAGCCTCAGTTTGCCCTCTTACATACAGGACTTAGCATCTCCTATGCCTATCTAACTGGGTGGCTAGGAATGTGCTAGCTAATTATACGATAAAGAATAATCTTTATTTTATCCTTTGCCTGCCAAAAAGGATACAGATCAACCTGCTCCATCTGTATTTTACGGCAAATAAATGGAGAAAGTGACAGCTGCTTTTTTCAGAGGTGCCTGCCAGGGGCTGATTTCATAGGTGTAAGCACCTTGGGCCCAGAGAGGAAGCAGATGGGTTTGGGAGGTGGAGGGAGGAAAACAGCAAGTCCGTGAATCTACCTGGCTGGCAATGAAAACTACACCATCTCTGGGTCTTGCAGGTGATGGAGAAGGCAGCATTTCTTATGGGGAAAGCTATCTCCAGTTATCGGGATGACCTGGACTTACAGAATCTCATTGATTACATACAGAAAAAGGTAATTTCAAAACTTCTCTTAGTCTTGTATTATGTTTTGCTGCTTAATTATTTCAGAAGGTGGTAAATAACTGAAGAGACCCCAGGTCTTTATCCCTAGCCAGTGCTGGGCTGCCAATGCCAGCCTTCTGCCCCCTGAATACACAAGCAGTCTAGTGCCAGGACCATGGCAGCCAGCTTTCATCACCTCCTGGGCTACCCAGCCAGGACTTGGTTTGTTCTGCACTTTACAACTTAGAAAGAAAAATGCTCTTGGTGTGGCTTTTAGTGCCATAGAGCTGCTGCTGCTGCTGGCATTGCTGTCAAAGAAACTAGGAAATGGTGAAATTTCACCCTGGACCAGTTTGGGAAAACCTTCCATTTTTGTTCTTCACTTGCATCAGAGGAGAGATGCTGCCTCTCAGCCACATTCAAATCAAATTCCTAATGCTAGTATCAGGTTCTGTGCATGAACACATGGAGGGAGCTAGTGAAATGCACCTGTGGCTCATCGGTGAGGCCCTGGGCCCTGCTCAGACTAGGTGGGGGGAGCTGCATTCAAAAGGCTACAGCTCTCTTTAGCTGGAGTGTACGGAGTCCCTGGGCAGTTGAGTCTTGCAGGTAACGGCTCTCAAAGCTCTTCTCAGAATCTATTCTGTACAGTCCTGTGCACACCTACGGCCCTGAGGAAGCCAGCAGTTATCCAAGGTCTTCATTTTTGGCCTTACTCTCTCAGTTTGAATGCTGTGGAGTACATTCCTACAAGGACTGGTCCCAGAACATTTACTTTGAGTGTCGAGACTCCAACCCCAGCCTGGAGCGCTGTGCTGTGCCTTTCTCCTGCTGCACCCAAGAGGATAAAGGAACAGTTCTCACAGTAAGTCAAGTTTGGCTATAACTTAGCGGGGGGGGGGGAAATGTAACTGCCAAGTTGTTTGGATGATGATGATAAAACAAGCTTCAGCATGTAGTTGTATTTATTTCCAACAAGTCAAAGAGAAGGAAGGTAATACTTTGAATTTACACAGGATCTCTCAGATCCAGCTATCAAAGCAGTTTCCATCATCTCCACTGCACAGAAAGGGAAAGCGAGGCACAGAGGAGGGCAGTGACTTGTCTAAGAATGCACAGCAAGTCTGTGGTAGACCTGCAAACAGAACCAGGTCTCTTGATCCCACGTTCCCTGTTCCAACCAGTAGATATGCTTTCTATCTACAATGCAGCTAACGAGAACACCAAGAGCAAAGCAGCATATGACACCATTCTGGTTTTTACCTTGACCTATCACCTGTGCCTTCACCCCTCATCAAGTGCCACTTCTGCTCCACTCTCACTCTAGCTGTATCCTCCTTCCCTGCAGAGCGTTCTCAACACCATGTGTGGTTATGGGACCCAGAATCTGAGACCATGGAAAGCAGAGAGCCTGATCTATACCGAGGGCTGCTTGGAGAAGATTGTCAGCTGGGGACAAAGAAACCTGCTGCTAGTTGCAGGGCTAGCAATAGGATTGTTTGTCCTGGAGGTAACTGAGACTGAACAAAAGTAAGGCCTTGTTTGTACTAGAAAAGTCAATTAGTTTAAACCAATACAAACTCCTGAAAAAATACTGAACTTAGAAGCAAGAATTAGACAGATTTATCCATTTTGTTCTCACTGGCAAGCTACTGACACATCAATTTAGCTTGCCTCCATAGGTTATCAACTTAGTTGAACCAAATGATATAAACAAGAGTTAAACTGATTTAAGTATATTATTTAAAGGCTTGCATTGATTTCAATGCATTCATTTTGGAATAGATTCGGCTAAGCTAAATCCTCAGTTTTTACATTTGGCATAAAAAATTAGACATCTATATCCACAGGTAAAAATAATAATATAGGAGCATGTTAACAATAGTATCCAGACCCCTGAACAAAGTAGCCAAGGTTTCAGGTGGGCTGAGCCCTTGCAGCTCCCATGTAAGCAAGCCAGTGTGACATGCAGTCCCTGGCCAGGCAAATTAGAAGCAAATGTTGTGGGCTCTTCTACAGCACTCTCTAGCTTTATGCCCCCATGGATGTCTGCTTTCAGGTCTTGGTAAATCCAGCCTAGTGTCCTCTTCCCTTGCAGGTTCTTGTCTTTTCCCTGGCCATTATGCTTATCTACCAGATCAACTTCATCATACAGAAACGGCAAAGCATGAGGAGATGCCCTGAGAAGTAAGACCTGCTCCTAGGATGAACTCAGAGTGGTCTTTGACACCACGTAGGCTACAGAGAAAAAACTAACTGTATTGACAATGCTGTGAATACCCCAAAGAGGACCGTGACTCATGCCAAACTGAATGAAAAGATACTGTGAAGTGTATTCTGTGCACAAGACGGAGATAAGTACACTAAGAGGCCTCTCATCACCAGCATCGTCTGATGGAACAACACTTTCTCTCTCTTCTTCCATTTTTTTATCATAAGGAACTGCACAAAACCAGTCTCTCTCCCAAATTTTCTGCTGCTTATTTTCCGCCTACACTAGAGATCCCTGCATGTGAGTTCACAGGGCACTGTTTTAGAGGACTGTGGTAACTCTCAGAGGATTCTTACCTGAATGGGAGGATCAGAGTGGATCAGGGAAGTTCTGAAACCTTTCAAAAGTGACACTCCCTGTAATAACAACAGGGACAGGAATGGAGAAGTTTGCCCTAAAGACATAACCATTTCCAATCAGTTATTTCCCCTATTTTCCATGAGGTACCAGCTCTTTAAAACCCCTTCTGCTGAGGCCACCAGCTAGGATAGCCTTGGAAGGTTTTGTGTCTGAGTTTGGTGTTCATCTTCATCTTGAACATTTTAACTATACAAATTACAACCAGGATTGTCTTATCAAAGAACAAAACTTTCAGGACTGTATGTTGTCATCACCTGTCACAGGCCAGACAGTGCCATTCTAGTTGCACTTCAACAGATATTCCTCACTACTTATCAGCAGATCCACATTTTGTTTTTGTTTTGTTGGTTGTTCTCCATTTCCTCCTCAAAAAAATCAGTTTCCTTGCAGTTTTTCAAACTTCTGAAATAATCTGAAGTCTGTCGTTGGTGAAGCTGCCATAGCCTGGAAAGAACTGCTGGTAACTGAGAATGTGATTGCTTGACCTGAAGTTTGCTGCTACCTTCAGCTGAGGAAACTTTGAGACACTGGCATTTTCCTCTTCACTGTACCATCTATTCTGTAGAAGTGTATACCTGAGAGCGAGAAGTTCTTCTGCAGCCTGACAAGCATGTGGACAAGGAGAGATCCGTCTGTACAAAATAATTCCATACCACCAGTGAAAAGACAAGAGGCTCCTGACATTGGAGTCTTATTGTTAGCTGTTGTGTTGCTTGGCACATTAAAGTCTTCTTTGTCAACAGGGAAAGTCATTCTTTGCCCCAGGATGGTGCTGATGATGTTTCTTGTACAATATTAAAGTTTCTCTGTCAGCCTCTCTTCTGTGTCCTGTATTTGTACTTGCCACCATGGATGAAGAGATGCATCACAGATTTCAGAGGTCACTATACACATGGCAAATCTATTGGGAATATTTTTTAAATCAAGATATTTTAGTAATTTTGCTCTCTTACAGGTTGATGAAAGTCTAGTGCAGATGGGCCACGTCACCAGTTTAAGCAGGTAGGAAGGATGCCTGAACCCTGTCTGGGCCCATTTGAAGTGTTGCAAGCACTATTCCATCTGCCCGCTGCTGGAACATGGTAGCAAATGTTCCTAAATAGACAAAGCTAATAAGCAGAAGGGCCTCAGGTGTGGATCTCCTTACAGAAAGCATAAAGGAGAACGGCACCTTTGGAGCCCTGGAAAGAGACCCCTGGGATTGTAACCAAGGAACAAACACTGGTTGCTATAGGGACAGTCGTCATCTTGAGAACTGCTAATCTGTTCTGTGATACAGTCAAGTTTTACGCTGCTCAGCACAGACACTAAACTCTAGGTTTTTCTCGGATCTCCTTCAGAATAGATGAGGGTTTTACTGATCCCTATTTAAAACTGAAGGATCAAAACCTCGCAATAATCGCTCACCCAGGATGATGCAAGGAACCCTGAAGGAGAAAGTTTAAAGGAGGCTGATCCACTCAGAAGTGCCTCTGAATAGATTCCTCTCAAGAACAGACTCCAACAAGGAGGAGTCAAGGAGTGAAGATACCACCATGAGCCTCAGCTGCCTCAGCCCAGACACACGCCGGGACCTTCTCCAAGGCAAGACAGTCCCTCTTCCCTTCCAGCCCTCCAGTCTGGTCCGAATTTTCATCAGCTCAGATTCCTCAGGTAAGTAAGCTCAAGGAGATCCTGAATCCTATAGGGTTACCGAGAGACTGAGTTTAGCTCTTACATGAAGGGGGCTGGCTGCCTTCCTCAGAAAAAAGCCCATATCCTCTCTGTGGGCTGCAGGTCTGTGTTAAAGGTAAAGGCCGCTGCAGCTGATGCATTCCATGCAGTTAGATGCTACCATCAGTGGCAGCAACGTGTTGTCTGGGAGAAAAGGACTCTGTCCCCATTCAGGGCTGACTAATGGCATTGCCAGTGCAGCCAGGGTTAGCCTCCGGCATATTATACTATATCAAAGGACAGTGGGAAAAGCTGCTGGCTGGTGCAGGGGCCAAGAGGACTTGCAGCTTTCCCTGTACCTTTAGGGAGGCTGGATGCAACAGACCCCTTGAATGGGGTTCTTAACTAATGCAGTGGAGAAAAGCATTTAGGAAGAGATCCATTCTTCGGCACTGTCCCTAGATCTCCCACCTGCCAAGATCCCCTTGCCAGAGGAAGTGCTCTCAAAACCTGATAGATGATGAATTCAGGATTTCAGGAATTGTGAAGCATGTAGCATAACCTTCCCCCACCCAGAAAACACTCACCCTCCCCTTAAATGTCATCAGGAGAAAGCAGGCTTTGACCTCCCTCCCACTTCCACAAGGAGAGAGACTTCTGCATGTCTTACTTCCCTGCATCCAAAGAAAAGAGCCCGATATGTCTGCTAAACAGGCATAGGACAGCAAGGGTCAGCATGGCAAAACTAACTGCTGCTGCCTCTCTGGAGGGCAAGACTGTTTCCCAGTGGGATCAATAGCAAGTAGTAGACAGTTAGCAAGGAGGTTGCCAGTGCAGTGCTCTTGGGAAGGAACACAGGGCAGTCAGAGACAACCGCCTGGGTCTGTCCCAGTGTATTCCAGGCGCTAATGCTTAGGGTGACAGCTGCATTTACAACAGGTGCCTTAGTTGTGGCGCACTGGGTTTCAGAAGGGAGCGTGGTTCCAAGTGCCTTGAGACCTAGCGCAAAGGACAGAGGCAAGTTACACAAATCCTCTGGTGGAAAGGGCCTCACAGGAAAAGCAATAAAGGGATTCCCCTGTAACTACCCGAGACACAGAGTACTAACGAGTTATTCCAAGGGATACATGAGGGAGTCTGCTCCCTGTTGCACACGAGCACAGGCACCGTAATTCCCAGCCTAAGGGAGTCTTTTCCTCTTCTGACATTGCTATAGGTTCATTAGCAATCACTTCTTTATTCAGAGTTGTCCAAAACGAAATCTGAAGGACCTGCTTACTCCCCCCAATTCTAGCAATGCCTCCTTTGATTTATGCTATGCCAGAGGTGCATGACACCAAGATTTAGACATAGGGAGGTAAAATCCTTGCTCTGCAGAGTTTGCAGCCTAAGAAGATACTGCATAGGCAGGTGGGAACAGGTTCCCTTTGCAGCCTAAGAAGATACTGCATAGGCAGGGGGGAACAGGTTTCTTTTCCTTCTCCTTTTTTCAAAAAATGTGAGCATGACAGGCGTACAAGCATGGGGGTGTGCACTTACACATGAGGGAACAAGCAGCCCAGCGTGCGTGTTTCTTTCTCAGTGTGAGCTTGCCTTTCTGTGTTTATGGAAATGGGGGATATTTGCATGTGCTAATCATTTCCCTGCTTGCTCTATTTAGGTTTTTTGTATTGTTTATTTTTACTTTCCTGGTTTGGATTAATTCAGTGAACAGGGCACTGTTAAAAAGGTGCTGCTGGAGAACTCCGCCCTCTTTATCCCAAATACAGCAAGAGCAGTGGCCAGGGAAGCTTCCCAAATGCCACTACATCTACAGGGGAGTCCTCATGGGCTTTTCCACCAAGATAGACAAGAGAGTTCATGAGTCCCGGGCAGGACAGGAATTTGAGTATTGTGAAGTGTACTGGTGGTAGAGACACATTTCGGGGGCTCAGTGATCTCCTTCAAAAGCTTACACACGTAAAACATGAAACCTGCCCAAGGTGATGCTGCTAGCCTTTATGATTTTGAAGTGAACCTTGCAACTATGATTGCCTGTAACTGATGAAGTAATAAGCCTACAATTCTGCAATGAGGGCTGCATGAAAGACTAACCATTCGCCTCAACAACCATTTCTTTTGACATGTGAAGGTGGCAAGCGAGTTGATTAGCAACATATGAGAGGCAAGGATTTCTTAGGATGGTGTCTTTTACCAGCCCAGCCCTGTAGTTCATGGTTAGACAAGCTTCCAACTGCAAGACTTTCTTGGTTAACAACTACACCAAAGGTTCTTCATGGTGCCGTGTTGCACACGTCCTTCCGTGCAGATACGAGCAGAGAGAGCGAGGCGCTGCTGGAGGCGGCATATCCCGAGCTGCAGGCCTTCTGTCAGAAGCACGGCCTAATGTTTGAGGTAAATTGCCCGTTCTGTTTAGTACAAAGCATTGCTGTTGCCTCTGCTTATTATCTCACAGCCTTTTCAGCCTTGTCCAGAGATCATACAAGTACACGAGACAAGAAAAGTGACCTTCGCTCCAAAAATGCTCCCTGAATTTCTCGCCTTCCCAAAGAAGCGGGAGGATAGAGCTGTACTGGCTATCTAGGCCGTATGCTTAAGAAGGCATTCTCCAACTATTTGGGTTGGTCTAATAAAAGATATCAAATTCACCCAAGGAACCTTGTCTGCCTAAGAAGGCATTAGGCACCTAACTCCTGTGGATGTCAACGAGGAGTCAGACAGCTCAATATCTTTAAGGATTTGGGTTTACTTGCTACCGAGTTCATCCTCTCACTCCCAGATCCTGGCTGGTAAAATATTCTTCACTCTCTCTAACAAAGGGCTGCTTTGTTCTTCCACCCAGGGGCAGATATTATTGCAGGAGCTTTTCCATACCCACTGTGCAAAACTTTTGGCAGGGAAGAGGCTGCTGCAATGCCAGGGCTCGGTCTTATTTTTCCTGTAACCGCAGGATCCAAATATTGTAACAAAGACTTCCCAGATTATCAAGCTTTCCTGACTTGAACAAACAGAGCCACCTACCAGGCGCCCATGGTTCAAACTCCCCACCACCGGTCCTGACAGATATTCCTGGGGAGAGGCTTTAAGTGCCTCTGTGTCTCTGTCCCATTTCTAGCTGCTCGGGTAAAAGAGACGGACATGGGACCGGCTGCTTTCAGTTTGGCTTTCGTAAGCACAGGCGATGGGGCAGCCTTGCTACATGACAGGGATTATTCTCCTGCCAGGGTTGTTGTGTCTGCTTTGAACTGTTCTGCAGATGATTGACTTCAGGTGGGGTGTTTGTGACCTGGCTGGCCCGGATCACGCCGACACAGAACTGTGCCTGGAGGAGATTGAATCCTGCCAGAAACTGTCCGTGGGAACCAGCTTCATCGTGAGTACAAGGCCGCATGGGAGCCCCAGTGCCGGGGAGGCGGCACGGGGCAGACGGGCCGGCAGCTGGCGGGGCGCCCCGCG